GCCAAATGTCATGCTGATGAAGAACTCCAGAAAGACCACACACAACTAAATGGGCAACCATACGGCAGATTAGCTTGGGAGGAGACAAATGTAAGGTAATGCAAGCAGGGAAAAATAATCAAGGCCACAACTATGTGATGCTGGATCCAAAACTAGCAGCGGTATGTCAAAAAAGAAAAAGATCTTAAAAGACATCGTTAACAGGTCCCTGGTCATCAATAAAAGCCAAAACAATATCAAGAAAAACAGTCCCAAGAACAGGTCTGAGTGCATTGTTTTGCTGCTACTTATAACTTTGGATTAACCACACTCGAGCACAGTTCATGGTCTGCTCTCTGCACCTGAGCAAGGATGCAAGAAAGTTAAAACAGGTACAGAGAAAAACAACCAAAATGATCAAGCAGCTGCCTGACAGTGGAGAACCTAGAAATGTTGGGCTCTCTGTCGTGGAGAGGAAAACGCTAAGCAAAGAGACTTTTGAGGATTACAAAATCATGAAGGCAACATTTGGAGATAGTTTAGAACAGATTAAAGTGTGTTTCTGTTTTGTTTTGCTTTTTACAATTCTGTAACTTGTGACAGGAGGTTATGGAGGTAGATAATAGCAGCAGCTTCAAACAGGACTAGATAAATTCATAGAAAAGAAGTCCACAGGTAGCTACAAAAAGGACAAGGAAGAGAAATACCCTCTAATACCCCCATCAGACAAATGTGGACACTGGGGGTGACACAAGGGGAACTGCCTGCAAGAAGTGGCCAGCCTCGTGTGTGCCCTTTAGCAGCATCTGATATGGCCAGAGTCAGAAACAGAGTCCTTGGGCTTGACGGATGAAAGCGTTGACCTGAAAGGCATTTCTCATGCTTTTAGAAAAATCAAACTGTGGAGAAAGATGTTTTCAAGAACAAATTACCAAATAAATAAAAAACAAATTCCCAAGAAACTGCAGTGAGCTGAAGCCCTCTCACAAAGCAAATTTGCTGGCTTTTTCTGTTACCCTTGTTGAATACTGGTTTCTATCATACCTCAACACCCTGAATGGTCTGGCAAGACAGTGACTGTGACATTTACTGCTCACATGTGTTTACACATTCACTAAAGTTATTTTCAAATCTCTCTTTCTTCACGGTGATGCTCTATGACGTAGCCAAACAGCCTTCTCCCCACTGCAGGAGGCTCCTGCTATATACAAATATATTCAGCTCTCTTCCAAACTAGAAAGAGCAGCCTTCTTTCACCCAGCTTGTAGTCTGTACTTAGCCAGCACAGGTCCTGGGATAAGCTTCTCTTTCCCCCTCTCCACTGTTTCAAATCATTGTTTAGACAGGGTGACAGGATGAGGAATGGAAGGCTACTGCTAATTTGCAGCTTCTCAGACTTCCTAAGAGTAAGAACGCCTGTCAGAAATTTCATTTCATTAAAATCCCTACAGCTCGAGAGCTTTATCTTCCTACTGAGAGCTCACCCTTCCTGATCTTGCCAGCTGGGGACTGGAAATTGCAATCTCTCTGAATCACTGGGAGGATTTTTCGCCCAGTACCTTACAGCATGGAGGCACTCACGCTGTCTGTCCATCCGCACATCTGCTTCTCAGTAATTGTGTAACCCTTTGCTCAGTTTTGAGCATTTTTTCGGCATTAGGTAAATACCTCAGACCTCTGCAGGGAGGCAGGTGTGCTGAGGACATGGCAAAATGGGTCTTCAGCAAGGCTGGGCACAAACCCTCAGGAAATAGCTTGGCTGGCTTGCTTCTCTCTGCACTGAATGAATTTGTTATTAGGGCGATGGTGATGTAGGTTTATGTAGGTCACTGTGACAGTAAAAATGTATCATTTATATCTTCAGCCAGTTTGATCTCCAGCATTTTTAATCTGCAGTATTAGCCTGACTGATTTATTGCTACTTATAAACCACACTGACAAGGACTTCATTTTATCTCCATCCTCAAACACCCTGTGCCTGAAATACAGAAATGCACTTTGGCTACTGGCGTAAACAAGAGATTAGTCTCTCTTCTGATCTTGTGATGTTGTCTCTCCGCGCCCTCCTGAATATATATGAGTGATCTAGCCTCTGCCCCAGCCATCTTCTAATGTGAGGAAGCTGTATTATACTTTTCTTTTCCATTCCTCCTGGAAATCTGGTATTTAATCTCTACATGCATGAGCCTAGACTGCCTTCCAGCCTATAGCCCTGCTCACGTCCCAAGCAGCTTCTCAACCACTTGTTCTCTATTACAGTCAGCCACATGAGCTTTCTTATGACTCGTAACACCCCCACCTCTCCACAATAAATTTTGCCCTTCCTGACACCCCATAGACAGCTTTTCGCTGGCAAGCCTCCCTCAGATATCTCCCATGCTCAGGTCAGGCTTGTTCCCTCCACCACCACCACCACCCCCTCCACGGCAGAGGCAATGGTCCATCAGGCAGTGGCTGAAAGAGGTCTGGTCTCTGTTATTGTCTCCGTTATCACCTGCTGTTAGGGTTGTGTATCTGCATGTTTAATTTATCACCCTCCTTGTTATGCGGGGTTTCTTTCAAACTGCAGGGCTTTAACCAGATAATGAAGTGGATGCGCGCACATTCCACGCGCCCCCACAATAAACACTTGGCCAGCCCTTGATGCATGAGGTCCCTGTAGGGGGGAGAGGGACCCGTGAGTTGAGAAGTTCAGGAGTAAGCAGTTTTCGTACAAGCAGGAGAGAAAGGCCGCCGAGAGTGAAAAATAGAGCAGGCATCCTAGAATGACACAGGGCTGCACCATCTTCTCGGGGCTACACCATCCCGTGTCTTCTCCAAAGCATGGGTCTCACTCTAATTTGTTGCTGTTTCTGAATATTTCTATGGTTTTACAATGAAAAATGTGAACTTTTTTTTTTTTCCAGAACATGCAAGCAGAAGTTTATCGCATCACCAACCTGCTATCGTGGACAGCACAGGAATGGATAGACAAGCAAGTAAAAGATGCTGCCAGAGGAGCTCACTTGAGCAAGAGGCCGTCCAAGGAGAAGTTTGGCAGGGCAAAAAGTCACATCTCCACCACGACTTCAGAGAACGCGTCTCCCTGCTCTCCATCTCACTCCTGTCAAAGTTATGAGAGAAAGCAATACCATTCCCAAAGGCAGTTGGCTTGCAGCTTCAGATGACTCCTCTCTCGTTGCCTGGAAATCCCAGGCGGGACCTGGCTCCCCTGCAGAAGTATCTGCATCAATCACATTTAATAAAATCGCACAACAGGTTGGAATTGTGAGTCAGCTTTAGCAGCTGCTTGACATGTATTCCTGTAATGTCTTGAGCGATGATCCAGAATGAGAAATTAGACTTCTCTGTATGAAAACTTATTCTGCTGATGTTACTAAACTCGTCCTAAAGACCACCCTACTGGACTGCCTCCCCTTTGACCAAAAGTAATATTGAAGCAAACAAGTCATAGATAAAACATTAACAAATACAAAAAACTTTCCTGGAGAGGGATATTTTCTGGCATAGCAACAACTGTGAAGCAACAGGGTCAGTCTCTTTGGCAGTTTCAGGACTAACCACTGGAAGTTTGCTCAAGAGCAAGTTAGGCAAAACAGCTCCCAAGAACAGCTCAGTACAGCTGATTCTGTGCTAAGACATGGGACTGGATCAAACTGGTGGTTCTGGGGGTGAGACTGAATCAGAAGGGGTAAGGCATGGGGATCAGGCTGATAGGATTTACTGGACATATGCTAAATAATTTACCTTTGAGAATCTGATCTCCTCTATCTATGAGAAGTCTTCGCCACAAAGCCCTGTGATTGTATTAGAAAACAGCAGTGAATTTACACTCTGGTAGACAGAAGGGTGGGTGTACTGTGGATTTAAACCATCATTAGATTCTGCCAGTCCTGGGCTGCTCCAGGGCCCCATCACAGCTCAGCCCCAGAGGTCTATCTAAAGCACTGCAGTCACTCAGGACTGCAGCAGAAATCGGCCATGACCATGCCCCAGGACTGAGCAGCCACCCTCACAGCCTCAGCCCAAGGCAGCCTCCCCTTTCTCCATCAGAAACTCTGCGATGGATCCTTAATCCTTACTGCTACCCTCACAGCACCTGCTGCAGTGAAATACCCCGCAAATACATCTGAGGCTTTTTGAGAAAGCATATTTAAATCCTTGCATCCAGCAATCACTGCAGGACTGATGTTCGCATCCCAGATATTTGGGCTAAGGGAGTGGAATTAATTTACTTCAGTTCCTATGGGCAGGCACCAGACTCACAAGCAGAGGCCCTGCTCCAACCCATTGCAACTGAACAAATGCTATCTCTAAAATCCCTGTCTACAATTTTAAGGTCGTGTGTTCTGAATACATATTCTGTGGTCCACTTCTGACCTAACACAGCCTCTTGCCTTCCTATTTGTATATCTCGGTCTGACACATTGCATTTGGGAATTACTAAAGCCCAATACCATGCTGCTCAGCCACACATTAAATAGCTAATACAGTTGCACTATGCCTCTCTTCCACCATTGCTAAACCAAACTGCATGGTTCTTTCTAACATATCATTCTGCACCTATTTATCTATACGGGAGGAGATTCATTCAAAGAAAAATCAAGGATGGCACAGAAAGACAGGGCAAGATACGCAGATGAGCTACTGTTAAGCTTTCTACCCACAAGGTAAAGAATAAAAAAACAACAGAGATCCAGCAAAAACAAAATGTTGAGTCTTCCAAAAAAATCCAAACATCACTAAATGAATAAGGGGAAATTACTGTTTCTTTTTCCGCCCACTATTCCATCCCTCTCTTCCTCCTTCCTTCCCTCATTCCCCCCTCAAAAAAAAATCTAGAAGTTATCTCCAGCATTTTTTTTGTTTGTTTTAAGCTATTAAATCATCATTTTTCCTCAAGAAACATTGATAATTTAACTGACAGTTTATTTTAAAAATAAATTGAGCCTTTGGTTGTCATGCAAGTGCCATATTTTATCCCTAATAGAAATAGTTAAACTTACTTAAATGCATGAAGAAGCAAAGAGGAAATAAAACAGCCATCCATCTTATTCGAGGGCCTACTCAGTGTCTTGACCAGAAAACATAAGACTTTACACAGCAGTGCTATAAAAGCTGAAAAACAAATATTCCATTCACCGTTGTCCTTGATCATTAACAAAGGGACAGGCTTTAGGATTTATGGTAGTAGCAGGTACTGCAGTGACAGTCCGTGTGGTTCTCTATCTTCACATTGTCCTTAAGGGTAATCTTAAAAAAAAGAAAACACACACATGTAAAAAAATAATTAGGATTAGCTACACAGTTAAAACCACATTCTCAAGCAAAAGATTTCTGAAACCTTTTTCTTAACCCCAAGTAGTATGCAGGCTCTTTGGAGCACACAAACTAGAATGGCCTCTGAACACCAGTGCTGAAGCTGCATCATCAGTGGCTTTCGGAGCCGTAATGAGATGGTTTTCAGCAGCGACATGCAGCCTGGTGTCCTTAATTTGGCACTTCTTCATGCATCTATCTTTCAAAAAATGTCAAGTAACCAATCTATGAAAAATCAGGAACTGCCCTTAGAATACTTCCCATGGAGAATATAAAAACAGAGACCACAAAACACTGTGAGTTATTTTTAAGCTCAACCAAATTCTACTTGCTGTTTCAGGGCAGGTATAATGTTGGTGGCCTAGAAAAAGATCTGTGCTCTACTCAGATGATGAGGCAGGATGGGTTCAGCTGTAGGGGTGTATAGGTAAGTCAGGTATTTAGCTCTCATTGCAGACAGTGGAGACCCAGGGCTTTGTCCAGGTACGCATACCAAGAGGTTGACTGACATTTGAGATGGGAGAGAGGATCCCACCAAACCTCCAGCTGCCACTCCAGAAGGTCTTTTATGGGTCCTGTGTCTGCCAGCCATACACAGATGTTTTGGGTACCCCGGGGTATCTCAAATAGCACCAGATCTATGAGTGGGTAACTGAACTGAGTGTCTAGTCAACACACTCATTGATCCTGAGTCAGATCACCACAATGATAGACACCTTAGCTTCTGTCAGCTAGCTCACCATCGATTACATCAAATTTAAGGTTTCTTCACCTGGAGCTGAATCACTCCCAAAACAATCAACTTTAGCAGAACCTTCCAGATGGGACTGTTAGATGCTGAAAGTAGTTGCACATGTTTACAGTTCCCTCCTGGTTATACTATTAAAAGTAAACACAATCACAATTAACCTAATGAGTACAGATGGTTTGGGTCCCTCATTCTCATGTATGCAATTGATAGTATTGACCAGCCACCTTCCCAGAGGACTCCTGCCTATGCAGGAAAGAAACAAGGAAAATGACTAATTAAAATAAAATCCACACTGTATGACATTTAAGGACAGGGTACACCTCCAGGAGAGTTAAAAATGAGGGGACAACAAATCCACCACCAGCCCTTCACACATTATAAGTCACAGTAGTTTCACTGAAATCAGTGGCGCTGCACCAGTTTCCACATCCCAGCTGAATATCAGACTTGGTACTGGCCAACACTTTAGAAAAAAAGCATGAACCCAAGCACAGATGATATAATGCTAAGGATGTTTCCTTCAAATAGCTGTTCAGTGTTCTTCAGCAAAAACGTATTAATTTCTATTCACTACTTCAGCTAAAAATTGCAATCTAAAACAAGCTTAAATGGTCTCATCTACATTCTCACCTTGGTGAAAGCCTTTGCTACACAGCACGTGGCTTCTGATGTAATGTTCTTTGGAACAAGCATGGTCTTCTTGGACCTCATTGGAGTGGGATAGGCCCGGGAGAAACAGCACCCAGTGCACTGGTAAATGGGTGCTCCTGGTTTGGAAAAGAATCTGTTCTCCCCTAGCTTGCACTCTGGACAACCTGCCATAAAAATATACAGAAAAGACTTTTATTTGATGGCCAGCTGTGTTTTCATTTTCAAAAAGAAAGGGAAAGTGCAAGCATTGAGAGGAATTACTGGCTGCATTCTGCGGTTTGATGTGTGCAAAACAGAAGGGCACAGAAACAAAAGCTCTCCTCTTCAGGGTCCTTCAACTCTGCAACATCCAGTATTTGTAAAACTAGAGTGTGGCTTTCCAGCTAAGGCACAAGCATTGCTTTTTTTCTATTCTTCCGATTTAATTTTGTTGACAACTCTTTTTTTTTGCATTTCTACTACACTAGCTCTTCCTAAAAAAACTACTAGCTAAAGGTAGTTAGCTAGCAACAGCAAGATTAAGAACTAGTGCTTCTCAGACATCACTTGTCTTCAGACCAGGCTCTATTATCTAGAATTTTTAAAATGCCTACTGATCCCAAGATTTTTTTTAGGTTGCATTTTTCTATATTCAGTTCAAGGCTAATTAAAGAAACCCAATTGGCAGGAGGCAAATGCTCAACACTATTACAAGATTAAATCGTTTAAAGTGTGAAAATGTTTTTTATCAGAGTGTTTGCATGTTAAATTATGAGACTAAAGGTTGAACACAGAGACTTGGTGATGGAGAGGAATAATGACAGGCAGAGGAACTCCTCCTAACCTAATCATTGAAAGTTGAGCACTCAGTTCTCAATACCAGCAAAGGAAAAGCCGTAGTCTGATGGCCCTGGTGGGAAGTAGGTTCAGGTGCAACTGGAGGAGACCAAGATCTTGATACCTGCTACTACATAGAGGTGAGCTTAAAGCAAGGGTCTTTTTTTAAGCTTGAGATCAATTTCACAGAATTATAGAATAGTTTCGGTTGGAAGGGATCTTAAAGATCATCTATTTCCAACCACCCATCCATAGGCAGGGACACCTCCCACCAGACCAGGTTGCCCAAAGCCCCATCCAGCCTGGCCTTGAGCACCTCCAGGGATGGAGCATCCACAGCTTCTCTGGGCAGCCTGTGCCAGGGCCTCACCTCTGTGAGTGAAGAACTTCTTCCATATAGCTAAGCTAAATCTTTTAGTTTAAAGCCATTCCCCCTTGTTCTATCACTCCACTCCCTGACAAGTCCCTCCCCAGCTTTCCTGTAGGCCCCTTTAGGAACTGGCAGGCTGCTACAAGGTCTCCCCAGAGCCTTCTCTTCTCCAGGCTGAACAGCCCCAGCTCCCTCAGCCTCTCTTCACAGGCGAGGTGCTCCAGCCCCTTGATCATCTTCGTGGCCCTCCTCTGGATTCGTTTTAATAGGTAAATGTCCTTCTTGTGCTGGGGGCCCCAGAGCTGAACAGAGTGCTACATGTGTTAGCACAGAGCATACAAAGGAAATGAAAAAACAAACAAACAAACAAACAAACAAACAAACAAACAAACCCTCAGACACCCCAAAATATCCCTAATATGTCTCTTTTACAGAATGCTACAGTCCCAACATCCCATATTCTGGGATCTACTGAGGAAATATATTCCTCTACTGAGGAAATATATGATAAGGAGCTATTGTTTTGCTATTCCTGGTGTTATGTTGCCATTTTTACGTCAGAAGTACAACAAAATGAAACATTCCTATTTACTAATGTTTCAAGGATTAAGATCACACACATCAAGATGAGGACACTGTCATTTGGGAGACTTGTGACCTGGAGAAACCACGTTTAAAGAAGGAATAGGAAGGATACTTACAGCAAAATTATTTTGGTTAATTAAATTTTCGTACCTCAGCATCAATAAATGCAACAGAATGATGAGATTTATGACCACATCTATAAAACAAGTTTAATTACTACTCTTCGTAATTGTCCTATTTCTGAACACTGAGAGCAGCTTACCCTGCATGAGAAACTCTCCATCAGGGAAAGAATGAAGAAGATGCAGAAATACAGACAAAATGGTCAAAGTGACAGCTGCATACTTCCCGTAGCAATCCATGATCTTCCTGGAAATACAAGTAAATACATTTTAAAGGACTATTTCACGCTGGGTATGGTACCAGGATCTAAGCTACACACTAATACAGCATTCAGTGCAAGTCACAGAGACAATTTAGAAACAGGATCAGAAACTGAAAACGTGCTATACTGATGTGCATTTTATAGCCTCAGAAAATTGATTTCATCACCACCATCATAACAAAAATGTGCCTTTCCTTCTGGCCTTAACAATCTTTTCTGAATATTAACATAAACCATAGCACATCAACTTCAAGTATCATAACTGTCTAATATTTATGGTACAGTGGAGAAAGACATCAAACGCTTATGGAGAAGACAACAGAATCTGCAGCATCTGCGCCATGGAAAGACTCATTTCAGGGAAATAATTTCACATTATATCATAATTTCCCGAGCCAAGAGTCAGATTATTTGTCCAAATACCGACCTCTTTAGTACCCATGTTCTCACGAACAGATTTACACAGTCCTGTCCCTTGGTGGAAAAAAGCTCCTCTGACCTCTGCAATGACAGAAAACTAGAAAGCCCAAGGGGACAGGGTGCCCAGGAGGAGCTCAGAAGGGCTTTGAATAGCTCCAGAGCCACCTCTGTGGTATGGTGGCCTTGTCAGGAGAGTCACAGGGAGTTCAGAGTCACCGTCATCTTTGGGACTGAGATTTCTGTCAGGCTTTGTCTTACTGACACACTAAATTGGGTTTTCAGTTCTGAACGACAGATCAAAAGTAGAGAAAGCTGGTTTGGTATAAACACCTTGCTTGGCAAAAACTTTTAAAAATCTTTTCAGTAGATTAATTTTTGTGCAAGATGGCAATATCTCCTGCACAGCACATCTGTTCTTGTACAGCTAGCACACGAGATGAAGTGGCCATACACATCGTATCACATGTTCTCTGGGTCATTCAAACAGACATGCAATTGTGTGGCTGTATTTGATCCAGATCAAATCTGTGCCACAGAGTTATGCATCCCTCTGATATGAATAAATGAGGGACAATAACATTAAAGATGTAGTGCATATAAGCTATGGCCATATGAATATCATCTCATGGAGGAGGACACAAAGCCTCAGTTCTCTCTGAGCAATTGGACTGGCAATTTCAGTGTCCAATCAGACTGTTTTTGCCCAGTCTCTCATTCAGAAAACAGAACTTCCCACTTAAAACTGACTTTTCTTCCAAACCACAGACCTGAGCCCTTCCTTCAGAAGTGAGCAGGCATTACTCACATCCCACGAGGAAGCAATTGGGTGCACAGAGAAAAAGCACCGCAGAAAGGATGCTGCAGTACTCAGTTGCACAACAGAGCGTGGAGCCAGGCAGCACCCCTTTGTGCAACCAGCCTGCCCTGGGACAGCTTTCTCCTGGAGGATTTAGTTACAAGGTCTTTTGATTGCTGAGACAGAATGCCTCACAACAGATCATTCCCTTGCAGATTATCCCGAGGGTCTCTCTGCTCATCACCCTTTTCATCCACCCTAAAGAGAGGGTGTTTTGCTGCGACCATGCAGCAGTGCATGCACTTGCTCCTACCTGGCTTCAGCAATGTGCCCCAGGCAGTGATCCCAAGCTGCCCACGGCACCACAGAGCCCACAGCTCCCAACCACTGATCTGTTCACCTGCCTCCTCAGAAACCTTATCTGATCGTGCAGGTCTCTCCGCTCCTGCAGTCACAGCCCCAGCCCGTGCTGGAAGCCAACTGAGTGCTGGTTTGGGTTGTGTCTGAATGGCAGGCTCCGCAGCACCCCGAAAATGAAAAGGACAATCATGCCAGCAACAAAGACATTGATCTTTAGATTTGGTGTAGAGGTTATTTAAGCACACCAAACTATTGGAGAAGGCACTGACATCCTTAAGAAGTAAAGAGAGTAGAAAGTCAGGAAGGGAAAGTGTGATTCAAATAATGCCAGCTCATGTCTGGAGGGAGATGCAAACCTGAGTGGGTCCAAGGAGTGAAGCTACTTGCGTGGTACGATCACCTAACTGAGTAAACCTGGAGCACTGGGGTGTGTGTAAAGAGCATACTGATTAACAGGGGGATGCCCCATCACTCCACAAATCCCCAGAGATATGTGGGGATGTGAGGCTGCTAGGCACAGGTCAGCATGTCTTGGTTCTCTGAGCAAACAGGCTGCAAGATAGTCATCAAAGGAAGCAGTCAGCCTGCAGTGGAGCACCGGTCATAAAATGTAGCTTTGAAGTCAGGACAATGAAGGAAACAAAATCAAGGAGAGCGTCATGCTTCCAGCAGTCAGAGAGAGCTCACGCCCAGGCAGATGAGGCTGAGACCAAAGGCAGGAGGAGGAGAACACAGCCTTTGCCTGACCAGGCTTAGCAAAATCATAGGAAACGAAGTTTCCATGGGAAACTGGGGATGCATGTTTAAACGATCAAAAATAAAAAGCCTGCATGACACAACATTGCATCCCAAGGGACAGCCGCGGCAGGCTAGGGTAGTGCCCACCAGATCCGTGAGGTGAGAATCTCTGCTTCAGCTTTTATTTTCAGGCTCAGCTTTTATTTTAACATATCCAGCACTTGTCCTGATTTTTGTCCAGGTTTTCTGACGAGACAAGCTTTCTGCTCCCCTTCCTCCTTTCAGATCTTTAAGGCAGACCCAAACCGGCTTGACCTGACCGTGTCCACCCAAGGAATTTGAGGTGGCCATGCTGAGAATGTGCAGGACAGTCAAGGGTGGGTGACAGGATAGTCTCACAGGAGCTTTCAGCAGGGCTCTCAGGTTCCTGAAAGGCAGCTGCCAGCTCTCTGCGCTTTCCTCCCTGGACAAAAGTCACCTGAGCCCACACCATATAGGTGGCATTCTTCATCCTCATTTTACTAAGAATGCAGAGCATTATGATTTTGGTACATTATCAGGGTTTGAGGCCATCCCAGAGGGAAGTTGTTTAAATTACATTAACCAAAAAGGGAATTGAAATTGCAGTTTTGCACTTCCTCTATTGAGTTCGACTGTCAGGCTCACACTAAAACCAACAAAGATACATGTCAATAAAACCCAGACATGATCTTCTCTGCTCTTCCGATGTGACAGCAATTTTGCCTGCTGGTCTTATTCTGCTCTGTGGAACACATCTGCTCTTCAACCCCTTTGCTCTCCTGACTGTGCCCATGCTGCTAACCCAGTTAACAGCCACACTACTTCACCATCAAATCAAAGCAAGCTTTTACTTTGCTCTATTAATTGTCTTAAGCTATTGGAATGCTATGTAAGGTGTGAATTCTAGCAGCTCTTTGGAAAGATGGTAATTTTAAATGTTCTCCAGCAGGTAGTCTCACCTCACTACTTACAATAACTTGTATTTTTCTGTAAAAAAAAAAAAAAAAAAAAAGTTATCAAATTACCATTTATCACAACAAGGACAGCTGATCATCAGTGACTGCAAACAGGTCTTCTTGTCACGTGCACTTGGGACTCTGTGGATGCCTTTACAGTCATATCATGCTCCCTGGTACCAGAATTCCTACTCAAATTCTGTGGTCTGCATCCTTGCAGAGACATGCCAGAGAGCTTTGTTAGACGGGTCTGCTTTGTACTGACTGTATGAAATAATCTCAAGTCTTCAGCATAAACTTGAGATGCCCCTCTATATTTTTTTTTTGTATATTCTGACTGTGGTGATGTTGTGCCCAACAAGACCGAAACACTCTGCACGTTGTGTTCATTTCTTCCCAAAGCGCTCAGCAGTGACATATTGTGCCACAGCAATGATGAAGTGCCAGTGCCTCGCTTGTGGCTGTGACTTGTATGCAGCAACCTGTTAGGAAACCACTGAAGACTAAGAAATCTCGACTAACATTTTATCCCCTTTATGTTTAGTCATGACTCGAAATTCAAAGACTCTAAAAGATGTGTTATTACCAGAAACTGCATAACATTTGACATCTGACAACAATACTGTTGACCAGGGGAAAAACAGGTTATTAATCAAGCATTACCAGATGCAATCAGAAATCACAAAATATCACCATTTAGCTGTCATGCAATCCTACAACCTTGTTTTCTATTACTTACAAAATTAGTTTAACCCCAAGTACTGATGTCTTAGCTCCAATACAACCTTTTCAGTTAGTTTTCCGAGCAAGAACTTTGACAGAATTGAAAGAGAAGAAAAGTTTTGTAGAGAGAGGGAAGAGGATGTCAAAAGCGTGTAATTGTTCCTCTTTAGCAGAAAAATAAAAATACATTACCTCCCTTGTTCACCAAGAATGAATCAGCTGAGAAACTGCAGGATGGTGTTCGATGTAAGCTGTCCTTGATGTGTGGATGTACCTTCCTGAAACTGATGCACGAAAAAGCTGCATCTTTCTTTTATACCAGCGAAGTTAGATCATATTCCTCGCCCACATCTAAGCCATAGGATCAACTGTACATTTTGTCTAATGACTGAACATCACTTTATGTAATTACCAGCCCACCATGCTGATCTTATCTTCCACTTGACTTTTATAGAGACCATTATTTCCTTATATAATGAAAGAAAGGGCAGCTTCCAAGCACAAACTCAATGCCACGTAAGTTTCCTGGGGAACTCAAATATCCAGCATCTAGTTATTTGCTGCAGTGAACAGAATCTCATTTTAAAACAAGGTAGAGCTACTAAGGTTTTCCAATGCTGCTTAAACCAGAGGGGAAAAAATCTATAGCAATGGCATTGTTTTAGCAGAGAATAACAAAGAACAGCAGAGATCCATACAAACATTTAAGAGTATAATCTCTGCTTGAATTTAATGCCCAGAGAACAAATTCATGGATAGATAGATACAGAACGATTACTTCTTTTAAAGGTCAGATGTCTGGCAAGATCTCATCTTGTTTTCAGAGTCAAGCTAGAGCAAAGGAGGCACTTTTGAAGACGGCATCTGGGTGCAGATTTTTAAGGCTTAGGGACTCGCAAGTCCCCACTCCCAAGTGACAGAGCCTGTGTCGACACTGGCTAAACAAGACAGGTCCCACTCTGCCT